TTGAATAAACATAACTATGTCATTTCCAGATATCCAAGTTAAGGTTGCTTGCCAAAACCTTTTAGTGACTGTCGAAACTCTGTCGAAACTCTAATGAACAATTAGTATATACCTTGACAAAACTCTGACGATTGACAAAACCCCAAATGCGAAACTCTGATAAACAATTAATGTGCAACCTGTCGAAACTCTTAATGGCCAGATGTGCTTTTTCCATTGATACCTTTTATTTTCATTTACAAAGTATCTTATTGATGATTGTAATCAAAACATGGATGAGAATTTGTCATGTCTTCTGGGTAATTACTATAAGGTTTTCTATCATAATAAATGATTTGTGTATTTGCCTTTACATAACCATTATTAATATTAAATAATTATAAGGAAATGTCAAGGATAGTGTTTATAGTAAAGAAATTGAAATTCCCCTATTCAATCAAGTTGTATACCCCATTCCTTATGCATAAAATGGACTTCTAATATACATTTCTTACTAAATTTGATATGATAATCTACTATAAATTATATATAACTTTTACCTGCAACGTTAACTGTAAAATTGATATCAAGTCTCTTGTTGATGATTTGTTAAATGTCATTTGAAGTGAGGATATACATTTTGTGGTGTTGATGGTGCCCTTTGAAATACGTGCTAACCTTTTGTGATCTCGTTGTTGCTTAGCTTGAGTCGAATTTGGACGACCGTCTCAAGGTTCACGTTAGTTCCTAACTGCATATGAAACACATAAACAGCTCTTTGTGCAATTTTGTGAGGACCCTTTTTGTATTGCACTAGCTAATTTCCTTCTTACGTTAACAAAATCAAAAAAATTGGTTTTCCAATATTTCTGCAACTTTCGGTATAATCTCACAAATTGGTGTGATTGAACAAATTAGGGCTCCTGACACTAATGCCCGATTGGTATGATATAGTATTAGTATATTAATATTTAAAAATCGGTCGGATTTTGGGTCACTCGATTTTAGAATTAAAATATTCACAGTAATTTAATTAACGTGAATTTTGCAATTTGATTTAAACTAAATATTGCTTAGATTTACTCCTATTTGAAACACTACGTTGACATTATGAATAGGAATTAAACACTTATAAAATTCTTTACTCCACGACTCAGCATTACAAGTTTATGCTCATTATTAATGCCAAAATAGTAAAAAGATTACTTGATTACTGGATTACACCATCTTACAAAAACTAGTTAATATGTTTGGTGTTACTACGAAGAGAATCAGAATGTTATTGAGCCTACTCTAGATAATTGTCAGCTATTCCATCACTATTGATGAGTTTAGCGATAATATGTGAACTTTTATGTGTCCATTGGACATTACAGATCCATGAACTTCAGAACCAATCCTCAGTCTGCCACAAATGGTCTAATATTAATTGCATTACTAAGGTTTGGGCAAAAGCTTTCTGAAAATATACTGTCGATCATATGCTGTATTATAATAATAAACAAGTTCTTGCCATCATTTAATTTAATGATAAAATTTCATTAGAAAATTGTTCAGCACCTATGCTCTTATAATTTTCAACATTGTCAGAAACCTACGAATTTCCGCAGATTCTTCTGTTGAATCAGTTGTTTGACTGGAATGTGATATATTGATACTATTTATTTCCTTTCATAATTTCACGTTCATTCATTCAATGACTGTTGGGTAATGAATTACAACCATATTTTTACTCAGTATTTTGTAAGAGACGTATTTTGAGTGAAGGAAAAGAAATCCGAATAATAACAATGATTCTAAATGCTCATCAAACCTAAAATTCCATTCATTCTCTCAGGGGAATAACATAACAATAGAAAGAGTAAAAAAGGTCACATTCAATTCAACGTATGGACTAAGGTGTAGATAATCTCCATTTCATTTTTTTTTTATTTACAAAATTTTTTATATAATGATTGTAAACTTCTTGTAAAATATTAATGGAATCATCCTACATACTAATACTAACGTACTATAAAATATATTAAGATTTTACGATCATCAATTGATAAATGATCCCTATAACACTACTGTTGAATAGATTATAAATTTTTTCCATTGATCCGCAGTAAAGTTAGATATAATTTTACTTGATTACTTTGGAAAATTTCATTATCAAGCCACAATTTTTTTTTTTTTGAGAATCAACTTCACAACACCCAAAAAAGGTCATGCATATGATACATCCGATTGGATTAAACATAGTAGGTGAAGCAGTCCTATCCAACGAATTTTTATACTGTTTAACAAATTTATCTTTTTCAGCTTTGAATTTACACCTTCTCCATTTGTTTTCCAATTCATAATGCTCAACTTGATCTTGTTGATGAAACCATTCTCACGTATTATTATCTATACCTTCGTAATTATCTTTGGTAATTATACAAAAATATGTTGCCATGACTCCGAAAACTATATAGATAGATTATTCCAAGATTTACCCAAAGCCTTATTGGCTAATCGAGAAAATCCATCTTGATATTAATGTGAAAAAATTACGTCCATGTAATGAAGTTCATGTCTTTCCTGGTTTCAGGAGTCCAAACTTTTTATCGTTATGTTTGTTGTACATTCTAATAATAACAACAAACTTGTACAAAAAAGGTTGGACGATTTGTAAAATAAAAATTCCGTGTAACTAGCCGTTTTTTTTTAAAATATCTCATTTAATAACAAATTGTTAATATAATATATTCCTGGCTGTTAAACTTTATTATATTAATAACCTGCAAGTAATAACAGGAATCTTTAGCAATAAATTACTAGACGGAAATGCATACTGTTACTATTATCATGAAAATAATTCCGAAGCACGCGGAAAATTAAGTATGTTTTCAATACGTTTCTATGTGTTTTCGTAAGAAACTTTTGCGGTAATAGTAATAGTAATAGGGATTGTTTATTTCCGAATTATTTCCGAATTATGCGTTTTTAAGTATTTAAAGACTACTTTTATATATTTTGAAATCAAACAAAAATATTTCAAATCCTGCACAATTATTACTCATGGCACAACTTAAAACTCAAATACCTGTACTCGCACTCTTTTTTCTCTTAAATAATTTACTCGTTAAACAAGTCATTTCGTATCCACTCTTGAAAACAAACGGAGGAAATGTTGATGTAATGTTGCCTAATGATCATTTACTTAAACGTCAAATTACAACGAAAGCTATCAAAATGGGATTAAAAGCTGCTAAAAGATTAATATTAAAATACAATGTTGTTTTAATAATTCTTATTGTTGTTGTAATTTGCATCATTGCATGGTGTCGCAAAAAAGGAAAAATAATGCAAAGTATTATTGATTTCATTGATTTTATCTTTTTATAATTCTGTATAAAATTTAATCATGTATTTCACTATTTACATTATTTATCAATAAGTTTAATTTAAGTAGAAATTAAATTATTATCATTGAATTTATTAATTGAAAATATTAACTGGATGGATACAATATGATCACGTGTTTTTGTTATCGTGAAATGATTGGCATAAAATTTTTATATTTATTATTTTCCTCCGAAGCCTTTTAAAAATAGCCAAGGGTTCAGAGCAAATCAATGAAATTCGAACTGAATAAGAATACAAATCAAAATGAACTGAGTCTCCTAATTTTTGATTCGAATACATATAAATAAATTGTTCTGACGAATCAATGTATAAATAATTTAATCCAATGAATCTGATTCGAATAAATACATTACCATCTAGTACTAGTACATACGTATAAAAATAAATTAATCCGATGAATCATGATTCGGATAAATACATACTAACTAAGACATAATAAATAAATTGATCCAATGAAATTCTGGACCACCAATAATGCACACGCAAAGTTGTGTACACTTGATATTAAAATTTACTATGTAAAAAATACCTGTTGCGCAGTGATTTTTTTAATTGCAAATAAACTGTGGCCTTAATAGTAATTTAGCCATTAAGATAAAGTTATATATTAAAATTTTAAATTCAGAGTTATTAATGTCGTGTGATCTTGTATGTATTCTCAGCGGTCTTTGTTTCAGAAATTAAATTCGCGTTACAATGAACTTTTAAAATTTTTGCTTCAATATAAATTTCGTTGAAACGCAGTTTAAATACAATTCTTTGATGTGTCCATATATTCGTTGAAATGAGGTTTATCTGCATTTGCCTTAAAATTTTTAAAATATAATATCAATTTAATTTTAAATTTAAAAATTCGGTTTGATTTGAGCCCAGTTTTTGAATTCGAATCGCTCTGAGTCTTAAAAATAGCCTCCCAAAATTGGTATTGAACACTTCATATATTACGTGTAATTTTGAAAGTAATACTAATTAAATGGGTAAATTCATTATAACGGATTTTAAATGTAATATGAAATCTAGAATTTTTTTTAGAAATTCCAAATGCACTAACTGAAATGACTTTTCCTATAAGAATTTACAAGAATTTACAAGAATGACTTGCAAGGAAATTGAATTTTTTGCAGTCGAATTCCATTTTCGTAAATTACTCAATAATAATAATCTTTAACCGTTATTTCCATTTTTTAAATTTATACACATGCAGCCTTAGTTAAATTTTATTATATTATTCTTAATGGATCTTTTGCAAAAGATTATAATTATATCTTCATTATTATTAACTTGGATCGCACTCAAAATATAAGGTGCTCCTTCTGATCTACATTATTTTCATAAAAGCGTAATTTTTGTTGAATTGATGGCATATCAAGCTCTTCCAATGTAATACATGAAGTCTTTGACCAAACCATTTGATAACATTCTTCCACCTTGGGAAGATATAAAAAAAACACACTTTACATTTGCTGATTCGCATGCAGAATAAGTGAAAATGATGATTCATTAAATTTTGTATACAGCGAAAGAATGAGAAATGTAGAAACACATTCAATCCAATCTTTGACTATGAGCTTGATGTTAATAGTAGTGATGTACGTCCCACACTTAATGATGCGTATACTATTGCTTTATCATGGACTATCTGAATCCTGCTGTTCTTCTTTATCCTCGGGCAAGGCATCTTCTATTTTATTGAATGATGATAGAATTTTATACATCGTAGGTGAGATTTTCGATATAGTATAACAATTTTTCTCCCCCTATTATTTGCTTTTTTTATTATATTAATGACTCACCAAATATTATGTAAATGGAACGTGTAGCGAAAAAATATTATCATTTAAATAAAAAAATTATATACTGACACAATTATGCATATAGATTGTGGATGGTGATGCTGATGCAAAGGCCAAACATCTGCTCTCTGTAAGAATAATTAAATAATTATAATTACAATAATAACAATAGTACCTAATGGAGATATATATAATATCCAAAAAGTGGTCATTTAAAATTCATTAACTACACTTGTAGTTCTGAAAAACAAAGCCAATATAACATTGCCACATCTTGTTGAACATTCAAGCGATCTTGTTAATGATAGATATATTTTTGTTGCCTACGGTATTTATATTTATATTTTCTTTTCTTTATTATTATTTTTTTACTTATTTTTTTTTTTCTTGTTTGTAGTAGACTGTACTTTTTTTATCAAGGAATCGACTCTACATTCATAATACAAGAAATTACCAAAGGTACTCTCAGTAGAACTTTATCTGGTATATTATCTTCCGGTACAGTATCATCTGAGCCAGTAACATCCAATACAATAAATAATAATTCCTTGAGAATGGTATATACAGCATCATTGGTAGTAGTACTCATATTAGTATTGTCTCAGAAGGAAAAGTCATTGTAGAATGTTAGCAAATTCTGATCTAACATCATTTAGTGAAAACATTGAATCAAAAATATATAAAGGCATCTAATAGATAATGTTATCCAGAATGTTTCTACTTTTATAATCTAGATTGAATGATATGTAAATTCTGATAGAAATAACATGGGTAAACTGCTATTTATTAAAATTTAAAATAGCACATGTTTTTATTATTATAATTTCATTAATTGCCAGTAACGAGTATACTTTCGTTTGATTTTTTTTGTTATTTTGCCCTTTTCTTATTAAAAAAATACCAATAAGGGACATGTCACATATTCTTTCGTTTCATGCAGAAGCCTCCTTCTCAAAATATTCAAAATAATTAAACAAATCTTATTCAATGAAACCTTGATAAGCCATCAAATTCCTCTCCCATTTGATTCTGACTCTATTGAAGATTTTGAATTTTTACATCAAGATCTTAACAAAATCACTGTTGGTGATGAAACCATTTCGACGTGTCTCTTACTCACTTTAATGATTATAAATAAAAGATAATAGCTTATAGTTTTTGGAATGACAAAAAAATTTTTTTCTTCACATGCAAAGACCATATAAAAAATAATTTCGTTATTATTGAAATTAGTTTCGGCATATAAAAAATTAGTTTAGGCGCTTAGTAATTTCATCCAACCTTGGCTACTAAGAGAGTTTCATTTCTACTACTAACTACTATAATATATTTAAATGTGAAGCGTGCAGGAATTCAACTTATAACAGCTCGTTGACAATTTGGATTGACAAATTTGGCCATGGATTTATGTCCTTCCCGTGCTTTCTTTCGAGAGACAGAGTAATTTTTAAATAAAAATAATAAATATGAAGTGTAGTCCGTCCGACATTAAAATTAATTTGTGACGATACAAGTACTTAATAAATTTCGGAAACCCTTATAAATGTTTACCATTCAATAAATCTCAAACTTATTTTAATATATTTTTTCCCTTGATATAAAAATAACTTCTAAAGGCAATAGCTCAATTATTTAATAAACGATACCTTTATAATTTCAGAATTTAAGTCCTCACTACAATATATTAAGGGAACTTTTTTTGGGGGGTTTTTTTTAAAGTCGCTTCGGTAAATGCAATTCACAAACACATTTGGGGAATTTGGAAAAGGGAAATGTGTATGATCGAACTACCTTTTTCTTCAGAGTGGGGACTTTGTGACCGTCCACAAACGATTAGAGCTGCGAGCATAACATTAATCACTTTATGTTTGATGCTTTCCTTACAGTGGAATGGAGTCAGTATACATTCCGATTCATTATATGCGATCTGATAAGAACTATTCAGAGTATCCATTAAAAATATTTTTCTGTTCTGGAACAAGAATTAAAGATAGTAAGAAAATTTATTATTTATAATTTAGCTTTAAAAATAAAAAGATATAATTGATATAATGAATAAATTTATAGTGGAGATTAAATTAATCATCCATTGATAATTTATCAACCTCATCTATCTTTTCCTTTACTACTGTTACTAGAATCCAATGTTCATTAATTGATTAAATGGGAATAAAAATACTGTTAGTAATAATTTATGGATAGTAATTTCCAATTAATTAA